CAGTTTCTCCAAGAATATGCCAAGATCCTTTCTGTTTTACAGTTTTCTCATAGCAATATATGAAGGGATACTGTCATTATCCCTGTCTGTAAACAGATGACTTATTCAAGTCCACAGAGCCATTTAAGTGACCTAAAATATTACATGTTATTTACATAACATAGCATGTTACAATGTAACAAAATTACGTTATGTGTTATCTATTAAAACTTAAAAAAATGATTTTTTTCTAAAAGTTTGTATGCCTCAATTATTTCACTCTAGAGTATTGCAGTATGTGTTGATAAGGAAACAAGAAAATAATATGTGCTATCTCACATAAGAAGCTCCTCTGATTTTGCTAGATCTTGAATTAAAACACCAATCTTGTATCTGGAAATGTGTTCAGAAAATATCTACTAAATGAAAATCTGAGATTTACTCTTAGAGTTGAAACCGTGGATCATATGGATCCAGCAACCATATTTTCACAACTAAAATCTAGACTACCTGATCCTAAATGTCGATTAACCACTGCATAATATATAGTGGTGACTCTGGAAAATTCCATTTGTATAGTCAATAAACATATTTAATGGGTACATGTAGTGTGTGTGTTTGGTGTGTCTTAGTATAAAACATAGAAAAACATTCACTTCTTTTGTCTGATACCAAGTGCAAATTTTAAAACCAGCCATTTTAGAAGATGAAAATAAAGCCCAATAAAAAATCTGAGCTGGCATGAAAGTATGAGCATTTGATATTCTTTCATACATCAGCATAAGTCACCAATGTTGAGAAGGAAGTCTCCTCCCTGGATTTCCTCTGAGTTCCGGAAATGCCTCTTTTTCTCATCCATATCAGAAATCTTAGGATCAGTTACCGCAAAAAGGCATGCTTAGGATGCTTGTTTCCAAAGCTGCTAAAATATGCTTTTCCTTAAGAACCTTTCCCAGTTTTGGCGATGTTGGCCCGATGGTTCTGTGATTGCTGAGTGTGCTCAATGGAACAGGGTTTGAAAAGCAATTGAAACCTCCATTTATTGGGCCTGTAACAGCAGCTAGTCCACTTGAAATTACAAGCTGGACTCCTTGAAATGAAACTTGTCATGCCCAGCAAAGCTGTTGACTGCCTGTCACATCTGGGAATTCTTGGAAGAATTGAACTAAGTCTGACAGATAAACTCAAAACAAAAAACCAAAAAGCCAAGCAATTTAGAAAGTGCTAGCAAGCCTTCCTCGCACAGGAACACCGGTGGCAGTGGGCTGTCTTCTTCACTAATTCCTGGTGGCAGGGTGGTTATTCTGTAGGTGGCCATTTAAAAAAAAAAAAAATGATGAGATACTTGATAAGATATTGACTTGGGAAGTTAAAGATTTTGTCATTCACATGGTATTTCTTCCTTTGGAAAAAAAATTTCTTCTTCCCATTGCCCAACTAATTTCAAAGACTGTCTCACTCCTATCCAGTTTAGGCCCATGGAGTTAGGTGTCCATGTATGGGCTGCACTTGACTTTCCCTATTCTTTCAAACTGATAATATATTTTTTTGAAGAGCTGCTAATGGTCTCACTCTCTCAAACAGACTACTACCTACCTAATAAAAAGGGTAAATAAAATTTAAACCTTAGTTCTTTTCAAGGAATTAGAATTGCCCATGGTCCCTGGTATAAACCTGGTATAAACCCTGATTTTTCTCCTCATTCCAAATTTCAGGGAACTACTGAGTAGTGCAAACTTCAGAGTTTTTCCCTACAACTAAATTAAGTTTCATTTTGCTGCTAATATATTCTCTTGTTTCTTATTTTAAACAACTGGGGCCAGAAAGAAATCTCTCCAGGGTACATTTTTCTCATCATCTAAAAAACTATGTTCTTTTGATTTAAAAAAATGCTCTTATCATGAAGTTTCTAGGGTTATAAACTTTGAGCAGAACTTCACCTAGACATTTATTTCTATGGATAAGAACTACAGCTATTTAGAATCACAGAATGCTTAAATTAGTAAAGAGTTGGTTGAATTAATCTACCCAATTATCTAAACCATTAGATAAATGGCAAGTGATTATAAAGGCAGGCACAGTAGAGGATCGATAGATGGATGGACACAAATTTCATATATATTTAACCAGGAAAATTTAAGTATGTCCTTGTATAGTGCCTGACATTTAAAGACTCCTAGTTAATATTTTTGCAAGGAAAGGAATGAAGAGGGGGAAAGGAGGTTGAAAACATAACCACAAGAAAGGCAGAATTTGTGCAAGAGAGAGAAACTCTTCCTATTTCTCAAATGTTCCCATGCATCTATCCATACATAATTATCAAGGTAAGGGAAGTTTTTGCTGCAATGGGCTGATGAAAAAGAGGTCAAAAGAAAAAGAAATATCCCTCACTGATATCCACACGTGAATAGCAAAGTGACAGACTCAAAGACAGGTGCTGGACAGAAAGTAATTATATTCTAGTTTTGCATCACTGTTAAACCAAAATTAAATGCATTTACTTCATAATAGCTAGCTAAAAATAAACATCTATTATGCCCTTCTACCAAACCTATTTTAGAAAATTTTACTTTCTGTGGTAGCTTGTTTTATTCCATGCTAGTTCCACCTCTAGGCACCTAGGGAATTCTCCATTTCATGGAGTATGGGAAATGCTGATGAGTCAGCCAGCCGAATCAGCCAGGAGGCATTTTACAATGTAGCCTTTAAGAGCACAGCATGGGAGGATAAGAACAGGGTGGAGCACTGTGGTCTATGGTGGAGGACTTTGGGTGTTTGGTGGTGTGTGTGCTACATCTAAAAGGAGAGATCCTGTACCTCCAATACACTGACAAGGATGTAAACCAATGGCGCTTCAATAACAATTTTTTTTAAAAAGCACAAAAATAAAGCACAGCATGGTAATTCCAGCTCTGTGACTTTGAATAAGTTAATTTTGTAAGCTTCAGGTAGCTTTACCAGAAAATAGAATGGCAATACTGAAGGCCATCAGGAAGACTAAGTGAGTGTTGTACAATGTTTAGAGGAATGCTTGCTCACCAAAGCCACTATTTTATTATTATTATTATTATTATTATTATTATTATTATTAACTCCCTTCTATTCTCACCTTCAGCAGATATGCATGCTTCACCTAGTAACAGCTCTCCTTAAGAGTTTAGAGATGTTCAATCCTTAATTCCCTAGTAGCTGAAAGAGCTCATATACAATTAGAAACTTTTTCTGCTTAAAAAAAAAGCTCATTCTCTTTGTTCTTTGCTCACTAGTACAAAGGCTTCCAAGACATGTGGGCAGCAGAGACTCTTTTTTGGTTTCACTACAAGGCAGGGCACTCTTTGAATCACCCACTGCTTTCTAGTATGCTGCCGTGGCCTATAACCTACTTTTGAGTGAAAAGGATGGAAGTTATAAACTCATAACCTTCCTCAAATCATCCTGGCTTCCCTGTGCCTTTTCAGATCGTCCTATGATCTCAGCACCAACACTGGAAAGCAAGGTATTACCCTGAATCCTTCCTTGTGTCCTGATACCTGAAAGTCACCCACCTTGTGATTCTCCTTGCAGTATCCTCTCCATTGCACAGCCACCTCCTAATCCATGCCCTTGCTACTTCATCTCAAACCTGCAAATGCCCTGAAGCTAAGCCCCACTTCCCAGTCCCACCGCAAGATTAATCTGCCTTTCACAACGTTTGACGTTAGCAAGACAGCCTAGAAAGGCTACGAGCGCCCCTCACACCGGTCCAGTTGAGATCCAGCCCTGACTGTCCCTCACGAGCTAAGCACTCTTGAGTAATTAACTTCCTCTGAGTCTCATAGGGTTGATGTGAGGGTGAACAAGATGATACTTACATAACATTTGATACAAGGCCTAACGTATAGTGAGTTACGTCCAAATTCCTTAACGCTGAAATCCACTCAGACTGGCCCCAACTTTCTTTCATCAATCACTTTCCCTTTACTCCCGTGCTCCAGCCAAGGTGAACATTTGTACATAATGTTTTTAATATTAACTTTTCCCTTATTTGCACTTATTATTTTCTTTCTCCTGCAACTTCCCACCATCAAAGTTCCTTATTAAAGTTCTAACTTCCCCACAAAGTTCAGATCAAATGTGGCCTCCACTGAGAAGTCTCCTCCATTGTCCTACTAGCCAGAAGTGGCCTATGTCTCCTTAGCACCTATCTGCTTTCCTTAGTTAGAATTTTCTTACAGGCTTCATCACATCTTCCTAATTTTGACTGTGTTTGAATCTCTCTCCCCAAATGTTTTTACATTTGACATATGTAGCTATGACATGGAAAAGTAAGGAGACAGAGAGTAAAGAATTACCCCACTCGGAAAATGTTCTCTCTCCTCAACAGTCATTCTCAAAAAAAAATTTAAAAACTCAGTGTTAGACTGCAATTTTATGCAAAGAGGTTTTTTTTAAGAGTATGCTATCAACTTTTTATTTATATGACAATATGTGTAGAAAGTTTCTGCAAGAAGACCTACCAAAACATTTACAATGGTAGTTTTGGCGTAGCTAAATGCACGATTTTTTTTCCCCCAGTATCTTAAGTGGTCACTGAGTTGATTTTTTTTTAATTTAATTTAATTTTTACTGTACCTTTTGACTCCCTTTGCAAAGAGTTTTGACCTGAGAACAGTTAAGCACTACAGTTTGTGCAGTGAGCAATGGGAAGAATAAACACCACTACTCCATGAGAGATGCAGGGCAGTGTGTCCCTAGTGGGCCAGGGAGAAGCAGAGATTGCTGGTGTTTAGTGAGAAACAATAGTGCTGATAAAATGAATTGTTCTTTCTTTGAATCAATTCCATCTGAGTTGGAAAAAATGGAAAACTTTTAAAATAAGATTCATTGTCAGTTAGGATGACAGTTGATGGGCTCCCTTTTTCCATTTAATAAATGTCATGTTCTTCATTGTCAGGTCAGAAAATGCAGTTCTGAGGGAAGACTTCCATTCTGCCACCCGCTTAATGTTTAATTTGCCAACCTGGGTTAAAGGGAAAACCTACCAGCGCTGCTTTTTGTTTCCCACTGTGTTTCTATTCTTGTCACACAACAAAGGAGCCTCTTCCTTCTTATTCTTCTCAAGTGGCTCTACGGAAAAAAAAAAAAAAAAAAAAAAAAAAAGCTGTGGAGAAAACACAAATTGAAACCAAAAACTAAAAAAAAAAAATGGAGAGAAAATAAAGGCAGCATTTCCAGACTCAGCATTGAGTAAACAAACACAGGATTTTCTCTGCCCCTGAGACTGATGGCCAGGCCCATAGTGACAAGGCCGGAGAGCAGGCCCCCAGGCAGATGGGCCAGAAGAATGTCTGGGGAGAATGTGACTCCTAGTAAATGGTCTTTGTGATTTTCCTTTTGTTTGTCATTGTTTAAGACAATAATCATCATTCTAAAATCTAATCTTACATTTCCATTTACAAATGTTTTCAGGTATATTTAGACACAAAATTCAGAATCATCTTGGGACAGAGACATACCCGGATATCACAGCTTTGGCCCAACATGGGCCAAGACTTGTCCTTCCAAAATGGGCTTGTGCACATGTCCCCACGAAGCAGCCCAGAAGGTTTTCTTTCTTTACCCTTAATCAGGCTAGGAATTTATTTTAGTAGTGGCTTTTAGGACCACTGGCAATATTCCTGACCAAATGTATCTGTTTTCTTATGATTAGCCTACAAGGCCATGCCTGAAGTGATTTTTACCATGTAGGATAGGTGTGGCCCTGGAATATAGCACTGAGCCTGCTCGGTGCTTCCTGGTGAGACTGTTGATGGATATTAACTGGAAACCAGGCTGGTCTCTGGATAGGAAATAATGCAGAGACACACAGGCACCTGAGCCCAGACACTGAGCATCTACGACCCCAGCCCTGCCCTCCCTTAGCCCAGGTAAGACTGACTGTTCAGTCTCACACAAGTTAAAAAAAAAAAAAAAAAGACACTTGTTAAAGACAGTAAAGAAGCCTTTATTCAAGGGACTACTGCAGTGGTGTTTACAATAAGGATGAGGAATCGGTTTTGAATAGAATAAGGAAAAGTGGAGATTTATGGCCATGGGGAAAGGATGGGGGTGTCAGTAAATGGGAAATTTCTAAGAGAGGAGAGTGATTATTGCTCAACTGACCAAATAGGGTTGCTGAAGGCAGGTCAGGGTGATCATGTACACACTGGGGGGTGAGGAATTTGGTCAGATAAATAAGATTGGTCAAAGGCGATCAGATGAGGTGTGTATGGGATTCTAGATAAATTGACTTAGCAGAATTCTTGCTAAAACTGTACAATGTAAAAATGAACACAGAAGCCTAATAAGGTGCCTTATGGTGTTGGCTGATAAGAACCATCTATAGTCCTCTGTATTCTCCTCAGATGTCTACTTATTTTTTTAAAAAATATGTAAAAGTATGCACATGAATCCAGTAATGTCCTTTCCATCTAGAAATTTTACCTCAAGTCAAATTGAACTTTTACCCATGTGATTGGATGACAAAATGGCAGATGAAGAATATTCTTGTTTCTGCTAGCCAAGACCATGAGCTGTATGAATAAGCTTCTAGAAATAATTTTGCTGGAGCTGTGATATCCAGTGAGGTACATCACACAGTTATATAATAAATGAAAGAGGTAACATCAAGTATCAAGAAGATAACTGAAAGCAGGAGATAATAGCTTGTCATCTACTTCCAATCCTCTAGGGACCCTTGCTGAAATTTCTCCAGGGAATTAGTAGGTGATGAGTCTAGCCCGTTTCCATTACTCTCATCATACAATAAGCTGGGTTGCTTTTTCCTGGCCTTCCTATGTGTCACCTTAGGATCACACAGTGTTCTTCCAACTATGACAGATATGCCAGTCGATCCAGGTTGAATTCTTGGTTGAATTCCTTGCCAATATTTAACAATTTCCTTATTGTGAACATGACTTATGTGCTTTAAAAACTAATACAATTGAAGAAAAAAAGTATCTGAAGGTCATGTTTACCAAACAGTCCATTTGCACATCTGGTTTGTAAGTCAGCACTGCCCTGGGTCCTGTGCAGCATTCAAGGGCTAAAGCAATTATTAGGAAGGAGAAATTAACAAGTGACAATGTCTACCTATTTTTAAGGCCCTTTTGGTAAAAACAAGACCCCTTTTCCACAATTCATCCTGGTGTTTGGCAGAGGTGCTAACAGAAAGGGGACAAGACCTGATCCTGCTCGTAGTGCCCGTCTCCAGGTGTGAAGGCCACAGTTTCGCACATGCATGTGCCTCTGTTTTCCACTATCTTTTTGGAGCATCTGCCTTTATAAGAGCTGCCTCTCCCTCCCCCAGTACACTCAGCAACAGCGCTGAAGTGCCATCGTGGCAAATCTGGTTCAAGGAGAAAACTGACTTTTACTTCAACTATTTTATGTGCTAAAAATACTCATTTTCAGCAATGAAGCAATTGGTGACAAGACCCCAAAACTCTGCGGATCCTACCTAAGGACAGAATGATTAATACAGAACAGGACTTATACATCATACATACATCAAAAAGATGTTCATCACATCATTATTTCTATCAAATAATGTGTTACAAGGTAAATGTCCAATAATGGAGGTATTAAGTGAACTTGAATACATCTATTGGACAAAACACTGTTGATATTGAATATTACTTTTTTTTGGGGGAGGGTTAGCAATATTACAGGAAAGTGTCTGGTTATAATGCTAATGGAAAAGAAAATAAGTATACAAAATAGTGCTTCACAAATATGCCTTCTACCCACCCCACACACACTTATGGTCATACTTATGTGGAAAAATGGAACGCCAAAGAGAGAGAGAATTGAACTAAATATTTTAAAAAATCACAATAGCTTTCATTGGGTAGGACTTGGGATTTTGGAAATTATTTTTCATTTGACTTTTTCTAAACTTCATAATTTTTAATGACTGAAATGTATTGCCTTTATAATATGAAAAAACATTTTATTGTTTTTGAACCACTAGACTTCTAGTTTCTGAATTACATGTGTTGGAGGAAAGAATAAACTCTAGTGACCTTAGATTATAGGGGAAGAGAAAGCTAAGGGATCAAGAATTAGAGTAAAAAAAAAAATCCAAACCCTTTCCATTTTCTATCATTCTAATCATTTTCTATCCATTTTCTATCAATCTTTATCAATTGCCAATTTGTAAGAAGATCTCTCGAAAGAGGATAAGGATAATTGTATGTGAATGTGCTTTAACCTATGAGACAATTTATCACTAAAAGTAACCTAAAATGAATTGTGCAATAGAAGGAACATACCTTTAAAACAAACTGGTAAATCCATTGTATCATAAAATATCCTTTTGAAAGTCAAATAATCACTTGTTTTATTTAGCTAATGTGTAAATTCATACATGACCATCCTTTTAAATTACAACACTGCAGAATTACAGTAATTCCATCCCATTTCTGTCTCTATAGCCTCACCTTGTCATCACCAACTTCAATATGAAACTAAAACTAAGTCTTGTTCAAAAAATATTACATGGAAAATCAATATACGGTTTCCATGGAACTCAGAATAAAATAGAAAACTTTTGATATTAATTTTCTAATAAGTTTGCATATTACTTTCCTTTGTTTTTTGGTTTGTTCTTTTCCAGGTGATCTTTTCTAAATTGCTAAAAGAACATTAGAACTTTGCTGGATAATCTACTCTACAACTATGATATTTCTCCAAAATTCTCAGACACATTACAAATCACTTGCCAAACTCAGATCTAATCTCTGACATATCTAACACAGCATGAAATGACTGTAGAATGTTCCTTTCTGTTTCTGATAGATTGAACCAAACGGTCTTTGCAGCTTATAGATGCCTTTCAGTTTAATATCATGGTTGTTTTCATTTTCGACAGCTTGCCTCAATCTCCATGTCTATTTTCACAGGTTCATTGCTCACCATAACATAAATAGAAATCTCAAATGAAGCCAATTAGTAGACACCTTGAAATGGAGTCAATTTAATCTTCCCACTATATCCTTCTGTACCCCCTATTTTGTTCAGCTATCAGACCTGCTGAATTTTATAAATAGGAAGTCTATTATTAATTCAGTCATAAACACTCTATTTTGTTATCTAGATGGTCAATATATTTGTTTCCCAGAAAATGAACCAAACCATCTTCAAACATAGTTAATTTTCCCAAATCATTTCCATACTTTGGGGTTTTTTTGTTTGTTTCATTTTTATGTAATATATTCCTGCTTTGAATCTTTTTTTTATATAATCCTTAAACTACATGAAAGGAAAGTTTTGAACACTTTGATGAAACATGTTTTTGTGCTGGTTCTATCTCAAAAATATTACACTTAGGGCCTCCCGGGTGGTGCAGGGGGGTAAGACAACCTATGAAGATATCCGCAGCCACTGCAATACAAGTTCGATCCTTGGCCAGGGAGCTACACACATGGCACAGCGGACCTCTCCTAACTCACCTGCTGCTCCCCTCAGCGTGTATTTCAGTTGATCTGCCTGTTCTGTTTCCCACTCTGTCTCTGGTGAATCCTCTCACCCCCACACCTCGGGCCTGTATCCCAGTTCTTCTATGCATAAATAAATCTTTAAAAATATATAAAATAATTTAAAAAATATTAAACTCATACTAAGTCTCAATAAACAGTTTGTAAACTAAGGCAGTTTGGGTTCTATCACAAAGAAATTGACTAAGAGCATAAGAACCCCTGAACAATAATATAATATCCAGTAGACTTGTCTTGAAATTTACTCTTAATACTTACAATACACCCTTGTAATACAGACACTAATGTATCAATTCATTTTACCTGTGTTACCATTCTTGTGTGGAATGTCCTTTTTAATTTTTGTCTTCTTTAAACCCATCTTCTAAATACAGCCATTTGTAATAATTCATCCATTCAATGAATATTTACAGAGCAAGGATTGGTCATCCTACCTGAGATGGACCTCTCTCTTTAACAGAGACTTACGTGCAAATCAGAGCAATGGAGTTGTTAAAGTGGTATCATAGGAAACCCTATAGGGGCACAAACCCCTATAGGGTTTGTTCCTAATTACAGAGGAGGGCTTCCTCAATGGTGCATATCAAATGAAAGACTTGCAGTTTTTTGACCAAGCAGAGGGAAGGGCATTCCAAAAGGGAGGAAACTGAATCAATAATGGCTAACAGTCTAAAAATATCTGAGGACATAAAAGCATGTTATATGGCACAACTGAGGAGTGGGGTGTGTGGCATTAGTGTCAGCTGGGGTGGAGGGTGTGTCAGCAAGGCCATGGCAGCAAGGAGGTCATCAGCAGAAGATGAGAATAAAGAAAATTATTTGAATACTCAGCTTAGAATCTTTAGCTTTGTACCATGCATAATGGAAGCCACTAAAAAAATTTAATAAGGAAGGCAATATAGTCAGGGAGACTGCTTGAATAGCTGCATGGGGAATAGAGTGGAAGGACAGAATAGGATGACCAGTAAAGAAACTACTACAGTAATTAACATGCTAGGCTGAACAATGGCTGTGACAGTGAGGATGGAAAAGGAAATAAACAGGAGCAGAAGCACTGCCTGAGAGAACATTTCGGAGCCTGATATATTGCCTATTTTGCTTACTTTCCCTCTGTCTCCTCTCACTAGTGCAGTCTAGATGTAGGTTCCATAAAGGCAGGAATTGTTCCTTGTTTCAGTCCACTGCTCTACCCCAGCACTTACATAGTGCCTGAAATATAGGAGTTGCTCAGTTAACATGTGATCAATGGGTGAATTGTATATAGGGGTATGAAGTTGACAAATACCCAGATTCCTGACTTTGAAGAAAGTACAAAAATGAGGGCAAGAACATAATCAGTGAAGATGGTTGGCAGGCAGGTGGGAGAGGTGGAGAATAGGGGAAGCATGTTCATTTCAAGATTGAGCTTCCCTTCAATGTGAGAATCAGAATTATATCAAGGTTTAAGCAATTTGTGCACAAGCAAGCTGAAGATATTTACTGTTAAACTGAGTTTGGGACAAAAAGTTAGGTTTTTACAAAATGTTTGATGTTTGTGCTTTTGAATCCTGAAGAACATTTTGATCTCGCTACATTCCATAGTGCTTTCACAAAACAACCAACCATGTCAAACAAATCCAAGAGTTACTTTTAGGGTGTATGTTAAAGTATCACTTTTGTAATCAATAAAAACCAGGCTTTATTCCAAACTGACTACAAAAAAATTGATGACATACTTTCACCTAAATTTTTTCTATTAAATTTTACATTGGTGAGGTTTCATAGGATGACCATACCTGTCTATCTCCCTTCCCACTCCTTGAAAGACAAAAAAGGACAAAAAATGACAGAAAATATAGGTGTTACTTAAGCAAATCCCTATTATTATACAGCTTGGAAGAAATGAAAAAGGACCATATTTGGAGATGAGAAATTCTGAGTAATTTCTGGAATATTAAAAGCAAGTATAAAGCTCAAGTTTCCAAATCACTATAGGAGAAAGGTACATCTTATGAAGTTAAAAGTTATTTCCATTGCCATACAAGAACAAAGAGCAAAATTAAAGGAATGAATTAAAGAACTTCAAGTAACAATCCTCTATCTATGAATTTTTTTCAATAGATATATTATGTGTGTACAAAATAATCCCTATCATGGGGTTTATAATGGCAAAAGATTGAGAACAAACTAAATGTTCATCAGTGAAAGACTGGCCAAATAAATGACATTAAACATGTACACAATCATTTATCACTTTACATCTCAGTCAATGACAGACTGCATATACGAAGTGGTAACAATAGGCTACTCCATGTAACTTAGGTGTGTGGGGTGCTATCCCATTTAGATTCATGAAATCAGTCTATGAATCTGCACAACAAAATAAGTGCATTTCTCAGAATGTATCCCCATTGACAAACAATGTGTGATTATAATGAAGCATGAGGCACTCAGCAAATAACAATGCACTGCTCTGCATGGCTGGACAGAATGGTCTCCAGGTTAGATTCTCAACTGATAATATTGGTTGTCCTTTTTGAGGGTTGCTGAATGCTGAGGACAGAGGTGATGCACTTAATTTTCACCACACATATCTTCACACTGTTGGGATTTTTTTCTGGCTATGCAAATCTATTTATTTAAATACATATTTTAAGAAAAGAAACTTAGGGAAATAAGGAAATCTAGAAAACAGAAAATAATACCGAAGAAATAAGACCAAAAAATCAGTAATCATATTAAACGTAACTGTTTTCTGTAATTGAGAGGTTAGTGATTCTGTTTTCCAAAAAATCTAGACTTGCTTTTTACAAAATACACAACTAAAACAAATGAAGTTTTTCAGCCTTTCCAAAAAAAAAAAAAAAAAATTCTAGAATCAGTTTTTCAAAGGCCAGAAGAATATTTTTAATAAAAGTTTTATTTAAAATGAATTGTATATTCCTTTAGTAAGAACTCACATATTTATTACATTTTCTCATCATTTCATTAGTATCTGCCTCCATTTAGTAAGGGTAGTCTTCCTGCTCTTCAATAAAGTTTTACACTTTTCCATGAAAAGGTTTCTTATCAAGGCTTTAAGAAGATGACAAAGGGATCTTTTAAAAAAGATTAAACCTTAGTATGTAATGCAGGTAGTTTTATTGTGCATATTACACAAACTTTTGCTTGGAAACACCTTTTTGTTTGTTCTCTGGCTGGAAACTAGTAATATGTAGCCATGTTGCTTTTGTCCCCTAAAGGCAAGGCTAAAGATAGGATGTCCCTTCCTGTTTCAGGAAATCATTTATTTATTCTTTCTTGGGATTCTTCCTCTGATCCTTCCTCCCATACTGAGTCTTTTCCTGTTGACTTCAACCCCCAAAATGCTGCCTGTGGCCTCAGATCTGAATATTCTTTATCTCTACAATCAGCATTCTAAGCTCCTTTTGGTAAGGAGATACATTTCTTACTTAAAGTGCAAAATAAAAATTAATGTCTGTTGCACAGCGTCACAGATGTCATGGCATTTCCTGTGTGCTCACTAAAGATGCCTCTGGAAACAAACTTGGGGATTTAGTGACCAGTACTGTGTGCATACAAATAACATTTCTCATGCATTTTTCATAAATTGCATTTTTAATGTCAGGGAATTGTAAGGTTATAAGGGAATTTCTTCCATATCACAACCCATATAGCAATAACACGTATTCAGAGGGAGTCTCTAGTTCTCTCTCTCCTTTCTCTATTTAACAATCAAGTTGCCAATATGGATTAATCCTTCACTGCTCTCTCTTTACTCTCCTCCCCATTATTTGGCCCCAGAGAATACTTTTCTTCCCTGAAAAACCAAAAGGAAAGATATTAGTGTACTGTCTGCCTTTCCCTTACAATATGGATGTCCTACTAAGTTGCTCTAAGGGGGGTTCTATGTCATGGAGAAAACTAAAGGATTTATAAATAGCACAGTGTTGAAAGCCTGGAGTAACTATTGCTGCAGAGTGAGTGAGCTGAAGAGTACATGGCGCGCGTGTGTGTGTGCGCACGCACACACACACACACACACACACACACAGTGGGGCCATGTACTGAAGGGCATGCTATTTCCAAACACTGAATTTTCAACTCACTGTTTACTTATGGTTTACACATTTTTGTAAATCCTGAATTTTTTTTTATTTTAAAACTGATATTTTTTTTTTTTAAACCCAGTATATTCTCCTGGGTCTCTGGTTTCTTTTCATCATAACCATAAATAATGTAATTAGCTAAGGTGGTCTCTGTTCAAAGACTACTAAAACATCTCTCTCTCTTAATGATTATTACCACACCCTTTCATTGAATTCTTGCCATGTATGCGTTCCCTGTGGTCAAGAATTTACCTTATAGAAATTAAGATGGTCTGTGCTCAGAAATGGTCTCATTGATTTAATTCCTCTTGAGGGACAAATGCATTGCTAATGATCACGTTGTCTCAAATTGCAGATCACGGTGTTTCGCATGGGATCAGAAGGACACCAGGACATTGATTTAGCTATCCTGACAGCTTTGCTTAAAGGTAAAGGAGTTTCTGTGTCCAGAGATTACAAAAAGAATTTGCATTGATTAGCACCACAGCATTCTATCTCCTCTTAGTGAATATAATTTCAAATATCATGTCACATCCAATTATTGATAATATAAGAATCATTCGTGTAAGACAGTTTCTGTCTTTAAATTCCACTGTGATAGTGTCTCAATTTCATAAAGTTTAAATATACTGCTATTTAGTCAGAGCCACTGAAACATAAAAATAGATCAGGTAAAAAACTGATGAAATATTGAAAATATTGAGTTACCAAGGTTACTTACTGCGTATTACCTTACTGTCTACTCTCAAAAACCATCTAAAATGCCTTTGATTGATTGGTTGATAATAGATATCATTATAAGTGGGAAATAAGGGCCTCCCTGGTGGTGCAAGGGGTTAAGTCTCAGCACTATCAAGCTATTGGCAGCCACTGCAGCACGAGTTTAATCCCTGGCCAGAGGGCTGACCCACATGGCGCAGCAGACCTCTCCTGACTCGCCCACTGCTGCCCTCAGCAGTGTATTTCAGTCATTCTGCCTGTTCTGCTCCCCACTCTGTCTCTGGTGAATTCTCTCACCCCCCTGTACCTCTGGCCTAAACCCCCATTCTTGTATGCATAAATAAATCTTTTAAAAAATGGAAAATAAAAACCATTGCAATAGAGAGAAATAAATCAAAGAAATTAAACTGCATTATTATAACTCAGTAGTAAATTTACCTTTAATCCTCCCAAAAGTAATGACCAAGATTCTATCACTTCCCCTTCTAAGGGGCAGGTATGTACTGGTCTCTAGACCCAGTATCATAAAGAGGTCTCACTTCATGGACTTGTTCTTGGATCCATACCCAAGAGAACACCAGTTTCCTCTAGGCTCTGCAGATCAAATCTCACCCTTACTGTCCCTTAATAGATGTGTTATCTTTGAGTAATTATTTCCAGTATTATAAAATAAAAAAAAAAGGAATCTGCCTCTGACAGTACAGAAATGAAAACCAAAGCAGTAAGACAAAATGAACCACGAAACCATATTGAATATGGGTCCAGATTAGAGATGTCTCCCATATTCTCCCTGAGCCCACAGTTTGCCTGCTGAGGCGAGTAGCACAGAGTTGGCCCTGCCTGTTTGTCAGCCCCTAGGCTACAAGTTCTGCAGGGGCACAGTGTCTTTTCCATTACTGTTTTCTTTCCACCTCACACAATCCCAACTACATGGCAACATTCCATCAGTTTTTGTTGAATACATGAAGGAATGAGTGGATTACTTAACGATTCAGTCATAGATTCCATGTTCCAAAATTAAGATGCAGAATAGTAACCATTGTGCTCTAATTTCCAGTCTACCTATCCTTCTCCCACGATTAATATTTTGAGTATCCATCATGTGACAGAAACTGTGCTAAGTTCTTTACAGATTCATGTTCTAAACATGAATCATTACACCAACCATATCATGTAGGAGGTGTTTTTAATCCCCAATTTATTGACAGGCTAAGTGGAGCTATACAGGTTAAGTAACCTGCTTAAGGTTACATTGTTAATTAGTAAGCCTGGATTTAGAGCAATGCATGTTTAACACTTCACTTTGCCATCTGACCTCTTTGACATTAGAAGCTGCTGACCCTCTCTGTCCACGACCCCCTAAATATACAAGCTTGTTCTCGTAAGCTCTCAATCACACTATGGGAATTTTACAGTTCCTTGAAGTGTATCATGTAACCAGAGTAAGAATCTTTGCTTTAAGGTATTTCATTCCAATGTACTAAAGAAATCCATACTTACAGAAGGGCAAGAAACCATGCAGAGCTGAGCCACAAAGCACACTCTTGAGTTCCATTCTCCATTTATCATAAACAAAATTAAAAGTTTAAGGCAAGTGATTCTGATATTTGTTATTCTTAATAAGAAGAAGAAAGAATAAAATCAGTAACATATTTATTGAGCTCTTGCTTTGTGCCAAACACCATGTTAGAAGCATTCTGGTACATATTCATTTCTTTACAACAGTTTAATGACCTGCTAAGTACAAGGCCCATTTGCAGATAAGGATACAGGCAAAAACACTTCAGAGAGGAGTCCAAGATGAGCCTGCCAGTAAGTGGAACAGTCAACCTGACCCCATAGTCCTCACTTACACCTACACCAACCCATCCTGTTATCATCGATCAGAAGGGAGAGAGTGCTGTATTTATTGTCTTCAACCAAGATTCACAACAAGTGGAGAAGTGCACAATTATTAGTGAACACACATTGGCCATCACAATATCTTCTACTGAAAATATTTTCTTCCTCTTTTACTAATTTATGAGACTTGAAATTGTTTCCCCTTCAAATCAGTCTTAAAATTTGTTGTAATCTAGAATTGTTCTTCAGATTTTTTTGAGCATGCCATACCATATAAAATAATTTAATGTTATAGCCAAGAAGTTATACATATGTATTTAGAATTCTGACATTCAAACACATAAAATAATTTTTACATTAACTGTAGGCAATGAAATTGGATATTTTCAATTCTAATCTAGTCTATTCTCTTTAATGCTGATTATATTCTAGTAAATTGATTTCATGACTCACTAATGGGTCATAACCTGCAGTTTAAAAAACACTGCCATAGAAGATTAAAGGAAATTATGATTGCTCTAAGAAATTAACATTTCTAATCATGATAATGAACATTATTTATGCAGCAGTTGATGCTAATGGGAATTTATGCCATTAAGATTATGGCGTGTCAACTCCATTTTACCAAGACTTTTAAATGCTCTCTGATACTGACCCAGTTGATTTGGGGAGGAGAGCAAGCAAAATGCTTCCACTGACTTCCTTGGAAGCCAAGAGCATACTTACATCAATTCAAGTTCTTTAGTTGGTTAAATGAGTCTTCCCATGCATTTTTAAAAATTATGCCTGGCATGTAGCACACTTTCACACTTAACTTTTACCATTTTATAATCAGTTTTCAATTATCTAATGCATGTACAACCCTTTGTAATGTCCAGTTTTCATTCTGTATATCGTCTGAGAAAACCTGAAAAATTAGATAGGAATCGCAGTGGGTCATGAAACAAATCGTTGGATTCTAAAGGCAAATTCCAGGGGCTTGAAAAGGACACATCAGTGGCTGTGGGGAAAATGTATCTTTGCTACTTCCCATTTTTTATCCCATTGAGTCTGATTTTCCTTGGGAATTATATATATTAAAGGATATTGTTTAGAATAGACTTACTAAATATCTGTTCAAAAATGAAGAAAGGAAACAAAAAGAATGCAATTTTAGAAACCTAAGAGGTCCGTTGTTTCTTCAAATGCTGACCTGGGGTAGCTTTTGAAAACAAGTGATGCCACATTTGTCTTTGGCATTAATTGCTCTCAAGAGAAGTGGTGGTCTAAGGCCACCATTTTAAGTATCCCCTACTTTGGGGATCCCAAGGAAAGGGCAAACGATACAGCAGGGCTGCCAGAGAAAACAGAGGACTTGGAATGTTCAGATAAATATATTTTTAGTGTAAGTACATCCCAAATACTCCATGGGATGTACTTATACTAAAACACTGCTCCTGATTTATCTGAAATTCAAACTTACTAGGAGTCCTGTATTCTTATATTCAATCAGACTACCCTACTCAGAGAGGGTTGATATCATTAATATTTTGGGCTTCAGACACATTGAGAGGTTCTATGGGAAAGTATTCAAGAATCGAGAGAGGTCATCTATTTCCCCTGCCTCTTTTTCTGAGCCAGACCCTGCCAAAATCACAGCCACCAGGGGAGATTTCCACAGAAAAGTCCCCAAATGCACCTAATAAACTCTCCAGTGCTCATCAACCTGCTGTCTCAGCTGCCTCTCCCATCTGCCTCCCTCACACAGCAGCAGAAACCTCCTGCCTGGACTCAATAAAGCCAGAAAGCGTCTGTTCCTAAGCGGCCCCTTCACCTCTGTGTGCATAAAATTACCCTTAATCTTTCCCCTCGTTTCTCCACATGGAATACAAACCATGTGGCCATAGCTCTCTCATTCCTGCCCAAGTGCCCATGGGCAGTAGTGAGGATGGCCACCCTCCATCGACCAGCAGTTCCTTTTCTTTGGGTTTAGTCTTCATTGATAAAGCAGAGCACCTGCGGCAAGAGGGATGCATAAGCTTTACTGCTTACTTCATTTTCTGGAAAGCATTTTTTTAAGCTAAAAGAGAATACGAAACACTACATTCCTGCTGAAAATGGTCCAGGCCATCGAAGACAAGTCTGAGAAACTGTCACAGACAGTGAGCCTAGGGGGACACTGTGACTGACTGTGATGTGATTCCTGGATGGGAGCCTCGTGCAGAAGAAAAGCGTATTTGTTAAAAGCTACGAAAGTCCGAATAAAGTATGAACTCCAGTTTCTTTTTTGTTTGAAAGTGTTAAGGGATAAATAAGAAAGTTCTGCTATCACATTTCATGGAACTGAATAGAGGACACACCATAGCTGAGAAAACTCCACACTTTTATGTCAAAATGACAAAAAATGAAGAAAAGCATCTTGTGGAGTTAGTTGTAAAGGTCGAAAACGTAATCAAAGCACCATAACACACACAACAGTATTTAATATAAAATACATAAGCCACATAGACATGGATAATAGTTGATCACTATTGATCTAAGAAATGATTAGAGTTTAAGTTTTAAAAATATGTGAATGCAGAACTAAGAGCAAACAATTTGTTGGAAATAACATTTCCCTATGGTTGACTAGCACAATCATTTCAGAGATAGTTATTTAGTTCCTACCATTGTATCTGTGTGTTGTATTTCCTCAGACATAAGTGATGCTATCAGTAACTAAATTATTTACTGACAGACTCAAGTGGAAGACAGCTTCTTTTTAAAGCACGTATTTGCAAATTTGTTCAAACTATGGAAGCTTAAAATAAAAATTTAAAGATCAGAAGGGATAGCCAGTCTAGCCTGTCTAACTTTAGAAACATCTGGAGTAAGAATGCCACTACTA